TTTCTGCAGCACAAAGCAGTCATCTTAGGCTAGCATTATCTTTTTCTGGCTGTGGCCTGTGAAGATAAGCATGCCTCTCCTCTGTGCTGAGAATATAGAACAGAGCTGACTCTGTACATGGCTCATGGAAAACACACGAGCCATGCCTTTCTCTTCAGGCTTGCAGGATCTAGGTCTCATTTGGAAAGATTAGGATTTGCACAGGTAACACAATCAGGGTAGCAAAACCCAAGGGTCACTTGTACATAGCAGAGAGTGGACAGGACTGTGTTTCCTCAGTCATATGCTACATCTACACAGATTGGTTTTGCTTTTAGTTTTTAAAATCTGAATATAGACTGAGGGGTATATCCTGACACTATTGGGTATTTTAAGGAATGTAACTAGTAACTGTTATTAACTACAGTGAGAATATAGACGTGTCTGCAATCTATATGGCAGAGTGTACTTTACTGGTACATATTAGAGGACAATATACAGTGTGCCTCTGCTTTACTGCAAAACATGTACGTAAGTAAGTACCAGCTGACTTGTTTCCTTTATGCCTCTAACCATTCTCAATAATCTATTAGCAGAGTATGTTCCATCCATATGAAAGCCGAAACTATTTGAAATCCTGTAACAATTAATCTCTTTGTGTCATAATTCCATATTTAAAGAGGAAGTGTGGGTAACAGATAAGCATTTCAAATTAAAGTCTCAGTCTTGGCGAGATGCCTGCCGTGAGCAAAGCTGCCCTGGTAGATCTGCTAAGCTTGTCTTTCGGTGTGAGCTAACCCAGGCTTCAGATGTCCGATCAGTTCCCCTCAGGGTGATATGCCTAGGGTTAATGCGCTCAGAGACTCTTCCTGGCAATTGTCTAAACCTTAAACATAACTCACTGCCCCACCATGGTAATTTCCCTGCAGAGTTCCTTGTTCAGCCATCTCTTGCCCTGCCTCCCATTGCTTGCCTGTGGTCTCAGGAGGAGAGTAATTTCTTCAACATTTTTGTTTCTTTTGGTTGCTCTTGTGGATGGTAAAGGCATAAAAATAAGTGGAACAGATCTCTGTTAATTTAGATATTTTTAAAATTTTCATAAGATTCACTGTTGCTATGAAAATGAATACAATAAATTATTATTGTCCATGTAACATTTATTTTTTCTTGAGCCTGTTTCCGTTTTCACATTGGAAAAAAATATCTCCAATAAAAAATATAATGGCATCAGATTTTTGGGAAAAATTCTTTCTGATGGATCTATTAACAAAACACTAATACTATTGAACAGGATCCATCACTCTATAATTCTTACTAGGCAATGTTACCCTACTGAAAACAAAGTAGAAGTTGGACAGGACATTACATTGGTGCTCACCTTCACTGCATTGTAAGGACATTTCTAAAAGCAACTTTTTAAAAATTAATGTTATAGGCTGTTCAAAGCAAGAATGTTAGTCCTCTAACAATTCATCCCATTCAGATGAGTGCAGCCTGCTCTCCCCTCCTGGGCTTCAGCAGAGAGAGATCAGAGTCCTCATTGCCAAGAGGCACAGAGGAATTCCACCAATTATTTCATTGGCTTGTCCTGTCTTAAAGGAACTGTGTATTCTGATGCTGATGGCAGTTCTGAAACCCACTTCCTAGCTGAATGTTTTAGACACATAAATAGATTTCATATTCTGGATTTTTTCACAAAAAATTAATAAACTAACATTCTCTTGAAAGTGCTAAGTAATTAGTCCTAAAATCTTGCTAAAGCTACATATTACTGACTCATTGCTTCCGGCCTTGACATGTGCAGTGTTGGCTGACATGTTGATCTCTACATTAGTCCTAAAGCAGGATGGATGTTTCTAATGTGAGTAGTCTTCAGATACCCATAGGTAGAAGAATTACACAAAGTGCTTGCAATAAAGACTCAGTTCTTCAAACCCAAGACTGAATTAGGATCAGGCCCAAGATTTTCAACAATCTTCCTGCTCAAATTTGAGATCTTATTCCTTAAAATCTAAGGGATTATTTCCTTCATCACTTGTGGCTGTTGGCTTTCAAACTGAGTTACATCATCTCCTTAATCTTTCCTTGTCTTTTCTTTCTCTGCCAAATACAATTCCGATTTAACAAGTACTTATCTGACAGCAATGCTTTAAATAGCCAGCTACGAGATGTAGCCTGTGAAGGGCAACCATGGATCTGTTCATTACGCCTTCCTGTTATTTTCCCAATAAATAGTTTGGTTAATGATTATTGGCACACCAATAAGTATTTATGGTTTAAAGTCACTCTATGTGGAAAATATTAATAAAGGGAAGTAAAATAAAATTTTCATAATTGTTCAATAGGCATCAATTTCTCTCTAAATTGTCCAAATATTCAGAATAACATGTTCTCTCGATCAGTATATTTAAAAGCACTACTAAATACTTTAAAAAGTATAAGTAATATTCATGCCAGAGTGAATACTAAATAATATTTATGATTATATAAATTAATAGTAAGTGTTAGAACATGAGTGAGGGCCAGTGTGTATATGAATGAATGTTTGGAACAACAGTATTTCAAGACAAAAAAAAAATCCCTTAAAAATCTCTGGTCAGTCTCTCTTCAGAACTCTTTGTGTTGTTATTCTGAAACAGAGGTCACCTTGATTCCCACAGGGTTAACTGTTTTGCGGTTTGTTCATCCTTGTCTTCTGATTCCTGTATTGCTTAGCAAAGCCTTCTCGGTTCTAAGATAACATTTCTTCGGAAAGAAGGCATTTGGTAGATCCTCTGTTGAAAGCATGCTTTTCCTCCCTCATTTATTTGTGTTCTTATGTGAAAAAAATGAGGAAGATATAATAGGAAGCAAAAGAGCAGGTGTCCCTTAGTGCCAGAAATCTTCTCAGCAATGTAAGTTGGTGATGTGCCAAGATGGTGCCTCGTAACACCTTGGCTGTGACTGGGACTTCGCCTGCTTCTGGATAGTATGTAGAAGAAAGCATACATCAGTACACTGTCTATCATGAACATGTATGTACTCATGTGATAAAGCACATGATCTGATTTCCTGAACCTCTTTATTGACAATGAACTGAACTGAATTTTGTGTCCTTTAAACCATCGCTATTTTTAAGCTGTAAGACAGTGTCTGACCTAACACTCATTTTGGGAAGACACTAAGATTAAAATCCAGAAATTCAGGGCTCTAGTCACACCTCCCTCATTTAGTAGCTTAACATTGCGCCTCAATTACACCTCAGTACACAGGAGCTCGGGCCTGGTTTTCTTCAACAGTTTTAGTTAAAGCCAAATGCTACAGTGTGCAGCATACACACACTTTTAAATTTTGAAGCTCCATACAAATTGACAGCTATTAATCCATGTTATTTAATAACAAAATTGCTTTCTTACCAGTGTTATATTCGCTTTTGTCCTTTGACCATCACACTTCTCAACAATGCTTTTCTAGCCAAAGTCTAGAACCCTCCCTAGGTGCTGCTGTTAGGGACAGTCTCACCATCAGTTGTTCAATCAGCCAAGCAGCCAAGCAGAATCTCATGACAGGAAAGTTTAGTGGTAGCTTATCTACATGCAAAAGGTCCCAGCTTTAATCCCCAGCACCACCAAACATAATCAACTGGCATGGCAATGAACCCTAAAACAAACCAAGGTCAATACTTAGTCATTGTTTGTGCAATGAATTCTAAACAAATTATTATTGAGAAATACTTTGTTCAAACAAAATCCAGTGTAGAAACCCAGCGTGTGGCACAAATGGAAGCAAAGCATCCTCATGAAGTAGGCGGGGTTCTGTGGGGCTTGCTCACACTTTCCAAGACTTCTCCTGTCTTTCAGGATTCATTTGAATGCTGCTCTTGAAACTCACAGGTGAGGTGTGTGATGATGTTAATAAGACAGCATCAATGTCCAAAATCTGCTGTTGACCAAGTGTATCCAGATAGCATTGTTTAGAAAGATTTCCAGGGAAATATTGCCAACACTATGACTACTGTCTTTTGAAGCTCATAGTTTCTGCTTTCCTGATAAAAGTACCTTGAAACGCATAACTTAGATGAACACATGTACAATTAGCCTTGGCGTTACTATGGTGGACAAGCAGAACAGGTGGATTTGGCATCAAATATGGCCAACTTTTAGTTTACGTGTGGAGAACTGAACTTCTTCTTGGTATGACTGACTATAAGTGGGTCAAACACACTTAGCAACTGAAACGGTGATTCTCTAGCACTTCAAGATACTGAATCCCAATGGAGCGTGTTTGCTGTTATTTCTCTTTCTCTAGTTTGTTGTGTCATTCAGCTTTTAAAGACCATGTGGTATTTTAGTAAATTCACTAGTTTAAAACATTTTGATTTTGTTCACTGGACTGAATATTGTGGTTTAGAATTGAGCATATTAGATATTATTAGACTATTCATACACCAGAATGAGGGAAAACTCTAAAGACATTCTAATGTAAATCACATTTTAACTTAAAAATAACTGTAAATATTCATGACACAAGTTTCAGGCAAAAACAAGATGTCAGTGAACATATTGTTTAGCTTTGTATTCTCTGGTCCCTTAAATAGCTCTCTAGAAAGTCACTAAATCCCCTAAGATGGTAAGACAGATTTAAAATTTTCTAAGTCTAACTTGCTAAAATCATCTGAAAAATTATTTTAATACAGAAAAACTACTCTTAAAACTTAAAAATTCAATAGAGAAGTATAGTTGTGGTTTCTGATAGTTATTTCAGGCATATTTTGAAACAGGCATATCTATATCTTTTAATTTTAGGAGCCAACAAGCTGTAGTGCTTGAGTATTCCTTGAACATAACAAATACATCATGAGATAATTCCATAATCTATTAATAACTTTATAATTAATACATAATACTCCATAAATTGTAATTCTTTAATCAATAGCCAACTAACTTCTATTCTTTGAGAAACTATCCAGGAAAAAGAGCAAGGCCAACTGGGAGCTTGGATCTTACTACACAATAAGCTAACTGACTTTTTCTTTGCCAAAGTTTCAGACCCAAAGCTTGCGTCTGTCAGACCAGCATAGGAAGTCACACCTGTGGAGAGGAATTGTTAGCATCACCCTCATTGAGGGCCGAGACCTCAAAGCAATGGATTCCAATGGGTTGAGTGACCCCTATGTGAAGTTCCGACTTGGGCATCAGAAGTACAAGAGCAAGGTACGTCTCTATCCTTCTGTGCTCCTGCACTGGGGGGCAGGCGCTGACTGGTTAGCAGTCAGGCTTTAGGAGCTGTGACCATTGGGTCCCTTTGAAATGAGAACTGTCTCATTGCCCTCATCTATTACTCAGGAACTAGCTCGCTGCACATTTGTGAAATTTAAGAGGAAAGAGCAACAATATCCCCACCCGGAAATGCTCAGGGCATTGCCCGGCACCAGCACTTCCAGCATTGGTGAGACAGATATTTTACAGGCAATGAAATTCTTTCAGATTACTCTGGGTCATGTGATACAATCCAATTATGACCAATACAACACCAAAGGTGTTTTTAAAATTATTTCTGCAATTTTATTTAATCATATAGCTTTTTAGTTTTATGTCATACTTCAATAAAATGTATTACAATTACATTCATGTCTCTTCTTCCTCCCCTTTCACTTCTGCCCACCATTTTCTTTTTCAACTTGACCCTCCCAGCATGTTCCTCTCTTCCTTCTTTCGTTCGTTTGTTCCTTTCTCTCTCTCCCTCCCTCCCTTCCTTCCTCCCTGCCTCACTTGCTTTTTCTTCTTTCTTTTCTTTCATCAGGCCCCATGCAGGCAGCAACAACTGTTAGTATTCAGGATTGCAATGGCCATGTCATATGCAGAAATTTTAAGATGTATTTCAGAAACAAAGAGTCAAACCCCTGTTGTTGCTATGAGTCATATGCAATGACACAAGTTACTTAATCATGTTGTGTGTCAATTTCCCCTTCTGCAGAAATAGAACTACAATAATGTCTACTTAAGCAAGTTATTAAAGAGATTAAATGAATGTAGGGTAGAAATACAAAGGGCTTAAAATATTGCTGTGATCATAAGTTCCCAGTAAATGCTAAAATCAGAGGAAGAAGGTTAGTGGTATCAGTAATAGTTGTAGAGCAACAATTTTTAGTGGTAATATATTAAGTAATATCAATAGTGTGCCATTTATGAAACTAATGGTAATGGCAACCACCTACGGATTGTAGCTACATCTTGTTATAGCCAACTATAACTGCTTCCAGGTTTTAACAGCTGGCATTCATAGACACCTTGGGATGAGTACTTCCCATTCATCCTGAATTACATGACAATCACATGCTTTTTGTGTGAAAATTCCTTGTCTTTAATATACTCACTTTGTGTGGATTTGGGGTCAAAACTTTATCTAGTTTCTTTCTAGTCCAGAAAGTCTTCATTAGAACTTAAGGTCTTCAAAATATCACAAAACTGATGTATTAATAGGCAGTGCATGTTGCTGGCATGCTATTTGGTGATCTTATGGAGGCCCACATGGAAAATTTGAACATAAATTTTAGGTGAAAGAAAGTTATATGAGAAAGACAATCTGAATACCAAAGGCTAAAAAGTTAGTCTGTTTATGACCTGATAAAAAAGATGAACTCTAGCCGGGCAGTTGTGGTGCACACCTTTAATCCTAACACTCAGAAGGCAGAGGCAGGTGGATCTGAGTTCGGTGTCATCCTGGTCTAGAAGAGCTAGTTCCAGGACAAGCTCCAAAGCTACAGAGAAACCCTATCTTGAAAAAAACAAAACAAAACAAAACAAAAGAACTATATTTCAAAATGCCATAGGAGTTCATTATCTAAGATGAAGAGGGCATTTGAATTATCATAGGATCCATCTAGTAACATATTTTTTGTCAGGAGCTTAGGAACAAATTTAAAACAGATACTATTTTTTTTTAAAAAAAAAGTTATCTATGACCACTTCTGTATTCTCCCAGTTAACACGATTTGCATTTTCTATTTGGCTTAGTTTTATAGTTCTGCTCTTTAGACATAAAATATGAACCCCACTATAGACAGGTGTCTCTTTTGATCTTTCTGTTCATGATCTATTGCAGATTAATTTCAGATTATGAACTTTAAAGTTTTGATTCATTTGCATTACCTTTACACATTACATACATCATTGCTTTCAAACTCTTTGCATCTAAGGACCCGTCTGTCATACATGAAGAAGAGAAAAGGCCATTTCATACCTACCTGCTTTAAAATGGATGGCCAGAGAAACAAATCTGAGTGTAGTCCAAGCAAATACTAAGTGGAATTTTATAGCACATTAATATTGGCAACTTTGTTTATTGATTTATTGGGTTTATTCTCTGCTTATTTAAAATTACAAAATGGCAGCCTAGACCTCCTTACTGTCTATGCTACATGAATGACTCACACTCTGCAGCTTCCATGTTGGGAAGTGGAATGGCGCTAAATGCTAGACACTGAAGGCGAAGTAAGCTAGGACCCCCCAAATGCACTTGCTATTCCTTCCGCTTCTACATAGCTCATTGTCCATTTTCATGTATTTTAAACATTACGTGCACAGAGAGGGAAAACAGGAACTCTGGGAATTCTCGTCTTATTTTATTACAAGGTAACTGACTATGTGTTCTTTTTTCAATCAGTAACTGTGATAGAATAAATGTTAGTATCTGAATGTGTTATTGCACTGACAGGCTGCCTTTTTATGCATTTAAGATAGATAATAAGAGAGTATAAGGGCTTACTTCTGATTTTCTGATTTCTCTGAACACATCCATGAGTCTACTCTCAACAGAGACTAATTAATACATATGTACACCCCGGACAGTTTGCCTGAACTACTACCCCTCAACGATTTTCTGCATAATGTCTCAAGTTGTTTTTAAATATTACTATTGAAGCTAAAATAACTTTTGCCTTTTCAGATTATGCCCAAAACTTTAAATCCTCAGTGGAGGGAACAGTTTGATTTCCATCTCTATGAGGAAAAAGGGGGGGTCATCGACATCACCGCCTGGGACAGAGACGCTGGCAAAAGGGATGATTTCATCGGCAGGTTTGTGCAATTGGTGTTTTATTGACCATAAAGATGACAAGCTTCTGTTGAAACAATCTAAACTTTAACACTGGCTGTCAACAGTTTTAAAGAAGGAAACCTTCCAGCAATACAGCTCTGGTTAGCACTGACAACTGGAGATTCAAACAATGACCAGTAGGTGGCACCTTTGCCTAGTTAATGGAGAGGCTATTCCAATTTGTATCCAGAAATTTTTTCCAGATGTCCGAATTATTGTGCCTAAAAGTATGGGAGTCGAAAAAGAGGACTTTAACCTGATATGGAACACTTAGAGAAGAAAGAACGCAATGATGCTTGTTTTAACAGTGATCAGATGTGTTATGTTCTGCAACTCTACAAGAATCCTTATAACCTCTTAGGAGTTAATAAATCAGGAAAGACTTCCAGAATTTTATAAAAGGAAAAACATGAATGAGGCAGATCATGATAATTTGAGAATGCAGCAAAGTGTATTCTAAGGCTTGAATGACATTTCTCTACAAAGTTAAGGTTATTTGGATCAACTACTTGAATGATAGGAACTGTATTCTGATTAAAAAGCCTATTTTTATATTTTTGGCAGTTACATATGTCCATTGTATCAAAATGTGTAAGAACTTGCCAGCATAAAAAAAAGCATGGTGCATAGAGAGGTTTGTTATTTTTTTTTAAAAAAAAAAAATCTCTTTTCAATGTAGTCATGGAATTTACAATCCGAAGAGAACTCATACATTCCCAGCATAAAGGAACTTTCAGTCTAAAAGTAAAAACAGGAATCCAAACCGACATTTGAGGCCCTTAGTTTTGTTTTAATGATTCTGACATACCTATTTAAGCAGTAGCTTTCAGCACGTGCGTGTGAATGAGGAGACAACACTGTTTCAGTTAACTATTAGTATCTGGTTTGCAAACAAAGTTGGGGAAACACCACTGTGGCCTACAAATCGCATAGTACTCAAACCTTTGGAGAACAGGGGCCTTGGTTGCACTTTGCCCCTCAGAAAAAGACTATTATCAGAGTTTACTGGTAGTTCTTCTTGGTAGCTTAAGTCAGGGCGTACGTCTGCCAGTCTCAGGGTCATTCCACAGATGCATTTGACTGCATCTCCTTCCTTAAGCCATGATTTCTCCCAGGGAGTTAGAATCTAGCTGTTACATGGACCCTTACTTCTTTTCATAGTTTAAGCAACAGTGCCTGTCTGAGTAATCAGATCATCCAAGTGGAACCTGTTCCATTCTTACTTTATATTCAGACTACATTGGATGAAGGCACTGTACTCTAAAACCTGCTAGCTTCTTTTCTGGCTATTCTCAATGTGGAATGTCAACATGATTTCTGCCTTTCCTGTTTAATAGCACAATGAGAAATATCATTTAAGCATTTCTTCCTGGGGGAAGAATTTTCAAACTGCAACTTTGAATACTGTAAAATGTCATGGCCCATTTTGTGCAGCCGCTTTCCTTTCCCCTCAATGTTGGGCAGAGGAGGGCACATCTGCCCCACTCCTTCTTGCTTCTGGGCTGATGCATGCTGTGCTTCAATTGTTTATTTTCAATGCTGAGCAACATGTTATTTTGAAAATATGTTTCACAGATGTAAACTCAATAGCAAGGCTAGTTTGTTCAAGGCTGACTATCAATTAAAGAAACATGTTCACATCTGGAATGGTGAAACATAAATATTTTAGCATTGGAAAATTGCCTCCCTCCATTCTCACTCAGACTCAGGGAGTCAGGGTTCTGTCCCCCGCCCCCCAGCTATCCACTGCAGGTCTCCCATCAGGTTGCCTAGCCTCACCCGCACCAGAGCAGGAACTGGCTGATGGCTTCCTCCACTTGGCTTCCAAGGTACCACATCTCCTCCTGCCTGTGCTCTACTATGCACATCTTCTCCCTCGTGTCTCTCACACAATAGTTCCAGAGTGAGTGCTTTAGACCTGAAACCTTGGCTCCTTCCCTGCCCTTGCTCCCTCTGTGAGTCGAACCCTTTGTGTGTTTTCTGCACCACTCAGGATTGACAGTTGGCAACGTGCCGGTCACTCTTATAACTCCCCTTTCAACCCAAGTCTCATACACAGCTGAGGACGTCACTACTGGAATAATTAACACGGTTCTTCACTTCAGACACTCCGTAGTGAAGCTTCAACCTCCCGATCCCTGAAAGCTGGATTTTCCCTTGTCTTTTGCTAACACTAAAACTATCAGAGCCACCTTTCTATTCCTTCTTTTTTTCTCACTTTCATCAAACACACCAGCAGTCCACTCTTCATCAAGGCTGCAACCCAGATGACATGAAGGTCTTCCAGGAGACTGTCCTCTTAAAGAACCTACACATACCAGTAGATCAGCTGTGAGAGGAGCCTTCCCTGGGGCAGCAGCCACTTCTTCCACCTGTCTCTTCATCTGACAGTCTGTTCCCAGCTTGATGACACAGGGCACCGTTGTTCAAATGGCCCCTTCATCCTGACTCCCTCCCCACCTTTCTTTGCTCCTCGACTTCTGGATCTTTTTTTAACATGACTCTTATTGCTGTTCTTAGGTTTTGGTGAGACTTTAGATCTTTGGGATATTCAATAAATAAGGTCACATTACATATAAATAGTAACAGTTTGCCTCCATTTTTCCCTTTTCCCCTATTGTTCTGGCTGGGACATTCAGTACTATGGTTGCATTAAGCCTCAAAATTTAGCATGTATATATTCTACAGAGGTATCTTCAAGCATGACCCATTCTCTATGCCATTAACTATAGGCTAGTTCTAGGCTAGCATATTGTGTATAACTCTATGGCTTCATTTGTTATAGTATGCTTCTTCTAATACTGTGTTCTGAGTTTTCATCATCACGGTATATGGGAGTTTACACATTTTGTTGTTTAATTTACATAAAGATTTATTCACCAGGGACATAGATTAGCAATGACAATGACTCTTTTCAAGCTTGTAAGCATCTTTACATACAACTCAGTGTGAGGAGGCAGAGAAGAAACGTGTATACTGTATCAATTCTGTGGATACGAAAAACGAAGCCAAAGTTGGTTACGAGGCTGCTTGGTGATTACGCAAGTGGAGTGGTGATCTAGGGTACAAATCCAAGTACCCTGACTCTAAAGTTAACCCTCGGTTCACTACAGTCTACATTCAGCTTGTTTTCTGGAAGCCTTTAACTCCTCAGTAAAATAATCAGTAAACCAATTTGGATGATGCGCATCACACTGCAAAGCTTACCTGTTGTTGAACCACAGATTTCAAGCAAAGGTGAAATAATATTAATCTATGTTATTTAACTTTCTGATCGCCAGCATTTTGATAGGCAAAAAAGATTGCCACCTTTGCGATAGTCAGCTAATAAATCCTCATGCTTGTAACATTTTTATGTAGAGCATTAATCTGAACAAATTGGTTGCTGACAGCTGAGGTAAATAATCGGAAAGCAAATTGCCTTTATGAATGTACAGGATAAGTAAATCGTATAGCATGCAGCTTCATTCAGTTGGAGTTATGTGTCCAATATGGCAAGATTTATGGTATAATTTATTAAGATGCAAAATGTCCTTTATCTTTAAAGTGGCATTGACTTAGGAATATATGTATTTTAGTTTGGTGAATTGTTAGTGATATTATTCATTGTATGTTATCAGGGACTTAGTGCTGGTAATGTCCAGAACAGCAAAGTATTGCCAATGTAGGCCTGAGTAGAAGGTTTAAGAAAAGTTTTATGAATGATATAAGGAAACTTACTATAAACTGGCTAGTTCTAGGCAAAGAACATGTTTCTCAATCCTATAGCATGAAACAACCCTGGAAAGAATGAGAATAGAGGATGAAGTGAACACATATGTTCAGGATTAGCATGGAGATGAATATTCGTGTTCAGGGTTAAGATAGAGGTGAACATACATGTTCAGGGTTAAGATGGATGTGAACACACGTTCAGATTTAGCATGGAGGTGAACTTCCATGTTCAAGGTTAGCATGGAGGTGAACACACATATTCAGGGTTAATGTGAAGGTGAACACACATGTTTAGGTGTAGCGTAGAGGTGAACATGCATGTCCAGGTTTAGCATGGGAAAGGAGTAATACAACCTTTGGCTTTGACTCTTAAAGCTTAAGACCAGTGCATTCGCATCACCAACTTTGTAATTCTGATTTGGGGCATTTATTTTCAACACCCAAACTACAATGACCTTTGTGTCCTACATATATAAGAAAGCAAACCCACATGTACTATTAACTGCAAAGCACAAAGATTTGTAAACTAATGAGTTTTTTATTGTCATGATATTTTTGCTGATTTCCTAACTGAAGATTCGTGAAATAGGATATTTCCTTAGAACTATAGGCAGCATTTAAATTAATTTTAATCTTTTGTTCATGCATCATTGTTTCCTCCTGAAAGTTTTAAATCTGTGCCCATTTTAATATTTGTTAACTAACGGACAAAGTTTCTGGTATCATTTCTGGGCACCACTACATGTAGAAGATTCAATAGTTTACCTTCAAGTTTACATACAGGTTTACAAATGTATGCTCTGACAGAAAAATCTCTGCACAACTGAACCATGGTAACTTTGGAAAACAGGAATTCAGTGTTGTTCTTTCTTATTTAATGTCTGAGGTAGAGATAAAGTTTTGAATAATCATAAACTTGGAGACCCTTCAGCAGTTTCATGCTAAGTTTGTTCCATTGCTAATATTCCAAAGTATGATATATTCTAATTCAGAATATAAGAATTTATAATATTTTACCAACCATTGGTTATAGTAATATAAAGTAGTTCTTACATATTAAGACATTTTTAAAGATTGGTATAGCTTACTGAATAGTTGTTTTTTTTAAAAAAAAGTATGTAAAACTCTTGTTTTTCAAATACCTTCCACGAAAGGAAATACTAGAGACATGCTCTCTTTTTTGGAAGGTTTATTTTTAAATATCTTGCTAATTATGATGGCTCCAAAATACCTTTACCTAATATTTCAGGGTATAAACAACATTTTG